AAAATCATCATCATCATCATCCAGTGCCAGATCTGCGACAGACATCGGCGATCATGGTTTTCCGTTCATTCCTTTGCTCGGATGCTCTCAAAAAAGCTACGTTTCCCTGATCTTTCCCTGTGACCCATTTGTTTAGGTTCCCTAAGTATGTTGTTCCGGGCCTACCCCTGCCTCGCTTGCCCTCAATTTTGCCAGTGAGAGCAAGATGTTCAAGACCCTCATGTCTATTCAGGTGTCCCAAAAACTGCATTTGTCATTTCCTGATTGTTTTTAACATTGAGCGTCCCATGTGGGCTTCATCAAGCACTACCTCATTTGATTTCTTTTCCTTCCACGATACTCTTAGCAGTCTCCTAAGAAACCACATTTCTGTTGCTTCTATTTTATTTTCACTGTCTTCAGTGATTGTTCAGCATTCACAGCCATATAGAAGGGTTGACCAAATATAGCATTTCAGGACTTTCATTTTGGTGTTCATTGAGATGTTTCTATTTTTCAGGATTGGGCTCATTTTATTGAAACTAGCCTTAGCCATTGTAGTTCTCCTTTTTATTTCTGTGGAACATTTGGCATCAGCTGTTATTATATATCCTAGATACATAAACTGTTGGACTTGTTTGATCTTTTCACCTTTGCTAATGAGATTACAACTAGGGTTTGTAAAGAAATAACTACAAAAGAGCAGCATGAATAAACAACCCCACAGAGAAAAAAACATAATAATTCTTTTTAAAAAACAAAACAAACGACCAAAAACATACCTACATAAACAAACACACAAATGCAAAGAGAGTTAAGTTTTCGTAAGACTTTTATGGCACTCGCAACACAATAAGGTCATATAAGTGCCGAAGATTAGAGGTGTTACAAAAGAGTAACAAACACAAAAAAGAAGAGATTGATAGGAAAGAAGAAGCAAACCACACCAGAGCACCCGTCCCATCAACCACCCACGAAACAATAAAAGGTGCACATACTCTGCCTGAGCAATGGCTGCATTTTCCTGCTGGAAGCCTCCCCAAGTGGGCTGTTGGGGTTGCGCAGCCGCCTCCTCTTGCAAGAAGAGCGCCACTTGGTAACTGAAATGTGAATAATAATAATAATATTAATAATAATAATATTAATAATAATGATATTAGTAATAATGCTGATAATAATAATAATAATAATAACATTAATAATAATAAAAGTAATAATAATATTAATAATAATAACATTAATAATAACAATAACATCAACATTAATTATAATAATAATAATAATAATAATAATATTAATAATAATAATACAGCTGAAGTTGCTGTAACAGCCGCCTGTATAAGAATAAGACCTGTGTATTTTTACTTTATTATAAAGACACTGTGTCAGACGTACATCTGTCATTTTTTTGGGGGGGGTAAGTGTTTTACGGCGCTCGCAACTGCATAAGGTCATATGAGCGTGTGGGACACATTTTGAATTTTGCCTGGGTGGCAGACGAAGCCTTCTCTTGTCGATTTTAGGATCACCAAGGGATCTTTAACTTTAACTTGTGTAACTTGCACACAGGACCTCCGAGATTTTTCGCACCTATCCGAGAAGGCTATGTGTTAGATCTTACCTATCATGAGATCAGGGGTGTGGATGAAAGACAGCAATAAGGAGCCAAGGAGTAGCAATAGAAAAGTGGCAGAAAGAGTCAGGGGCCCAGAGGAGGGGGCAAAGGAGGTGAGGGTGGGAGGCAGAAATTGGAGACGAAAGCAGACGACAGAACATTGTTAAAGAGCAGGAAAGGAGGTGAACGGAGAAAATTTCGAATCCAGGACCTATATTGATTGAATGAGAGGGGAACAACGTAACCTCTTGACCACAACAGCCCTCTTCCACCTGTCTATGATGGCCATTTTTCTCCTCAACAATGGGTGGCTGTCTTAGACAATTTCAAAACTCTCTACCTCGAATAAAGAAGACAGGCTCTGAGCATTTTGCAAACATACAGATAGCAACACATATACAATGATAGCGTATTTTGACTTAAAAAATCGACACACATCTCTAATCTAAGAAATAAAAAAGACTTGAGCTGACTTTTAAATGAATTAAACATCTCCTGTAAATCATCAGGAAGTGTGTTCCAGATCTTGGAAGCCATGCAATGCAAATGCCCTTTCATCTACAGTTTTAAGTTTCATTAATGGTAAAAGAATGCATACACACACACACACACACACACACACACACACACACACACACACACAAACACACACACACAGACGCAAACACACACACAAAACAACAAAAAAAACTAGTAAGTGTGGGAGTTGAAATATAAAGAAATGAATAAGGGTGTGGGTTGTGCAGAGCGCCAAAATGAAAAAAATAGTATAAAAGCCATATTAAAAAAAAAAATTACAGGAGTTTCTTAGGTTACAAAAAGCACACTGAGTCGATAACATTCATCACATCATTGCAATAACGATTAAGGACACAAATATGACAATGTTCACAGAAACAAGAAAGGAAGAATATAGAAGTGGGATGTAAGTTTTCAAGTCCAGAAAGTAAGTGACTTCAGAGACAAATTCTGAAAAAAAGAAAGGGGAAAGAAAAAAAAAAAAAAAAAAAATTGAAGTAGGAGGGACAACTCCTGACCACACATATTTGTGATGTGTGCTGACAAAATGAGTTACTTCTCGGATTTTAGCCTGAGTGAAATAGATACGTCAAATTTATAGGTTGAGTTTTTAAAAATTTATTGGTATGAAATGATAAAAGACATGTTAAGCTTGAAGAGAATGGCATCGGTTTAGAATCTATAAATATGACCTTTGTGTTGATTTTCAGCCGATATCTCTATTCATGGATTGTGATAAGTAAGTCATTTTGTCAGCATGCCTCACATTTTGTCCTCGTACTCTTCATTCATCACTTTGGAATAAGGACATCATCAAAATATTTCTTTATAAATAGTAGCCATTGGAATGTCATTGCATTGCTGTGTCAATGGAAAGGAGCATCTGGCATCTGTGGAGTAACTGTTAAGCTCCTCACTGACCCATTCAATTTTGTGTAAGTCAATTGAATAAGAGAAATCTGCGAAAAACATGAACAAAAAGGGAAAAATAAATGTGAGGCATCATGGTGAAATCAGGCGTTCGTCAAAATGATGAAATCAAAGTCGTTTTTTTTTTGTGTTTTTTTTGCTGAACACCTTTTATTTTTACGTCCATTTAAAAACATATTCTGAGTAGATTTTACTTAGGTCATATTTATAGATTCTAAACCGCTGCCATTCTCTTCAAGCGTAACATGTTTTTAAAATTATTTCATATTAAAAAAACACAAAAAAAACAACAACCTATAAATTTGACAAATGAACAAGCTTCAAGATGAAACAAATAACTTCATATGCCGAAATTTGACAAGCGCCTGATTCCACCACCCAGTCATGACACTTAAATGTATGGGGGAAAAAAAACCGGAAGAAAACTAGCAGATGACTCACTCGTGGTCAATCTGCTCGGCGCTACCGACGGGCACGCTGGGGTCAGGAATGGGCTCTGTGGAGGCCGCAGGCTTGGTGTAGGTGCGGAAGCTGCCGTCCACAAAGTGGCAGTCGCCGTCCACGTTGGAGAGCGTCTCCCACACCACGTTCCGCTCCGTGAGGAAGCCCTGGTCCGTCACCAGCAAGAACAGCTCATTCTGAAATGGGACAGAAAATAATAAAACAATAATAATAATACTAATAGTAGTAATAATAATAATAATAATAATAATAATAATAGAAGGC